GCTGGAATCTTATAAATCTGCAAAAGTGGTGGCTTATGGTCACTTTAGACCCCTGGTGCCCAAACTGCAGCCCTTTGATATATGAAGTGTGGCCCTTGGACCTCAGTAGTTTGTAATGGGAACATTGATTTGGGTAACAGCATTGATCTCTACTAGCCTAATGTAACGTCTTCCCAGTTTCATATTTGTCTTCTGCATAATATCTCCAGCCAAAAATGTAGATTATCCACCCTATCTGACCCTCATTTCTGCAGTTTTTGATAGCCCTTTCAAGCATTACATATATTGAACATTATGTGCTGCCCATTGGAGGCCACATTTGAAGTCCCCTTTGGCTCATAAGGTGACAACTACTGCTTTAGACTGACATGCACAGTCTGATTTTCTGTTGCGACATGAGCAAGCAGTGGATGGAGTAATATCTGGGTTAACAAATAAAAAGTGACGAATGTTTGGTTTCAGGCTCCCTGGAAAATCTGGCTTCTTTTTATTTAGATGACTGCAAATCTATTTTTTTCACAGCAGGCTTGTGAAAAAAAATACATTGTTGGATTGGCTGTTCTGAGATATTAACACTGTCAAATAAAGCTGTAAGCATGCCTTCTACAAGAACATAGTTGTGTTAAGTTGAATTAGCCCTGATTTAGCCATGGACAAGATCTTCATTCTCCATTACAGTGTTAGTTTGATTTAGGCAGACATTTTTATTATCTTCCTTGAGTGGATTATATATGCTGCAGACTCAATTTCACGCCATAAACACAGAAGGAAATGTTACTTTTTTGTGTTTTATCTTCCAACATAACTAAATTAAAAGCATATATTGTGCTCAAATGAATACTTTTTTGTATTGCCTATATTAGCTAACTAAATTACCATTAGATGTATATGGGCTGTAAACAGAATATGTTATGGATATTTTGCATAATCATGTTCATGGTTAAGCAGTGCCTTAGGTAATATAGAGCATTTATCTATTTCATATAGGTGGAAATTAGAGTCAAATGTGTAATTAATGTGAAAGTCCCAAGGATATATTTTAGCTGCAATTCAAACTGAAATATAGAGGCTGGATTCATACATACCCGTGTTTCCCTCTGCTATGTATTTCATTGGAATCTGTGGAAATGCACCAAAATGCTTTGCAGCATGCATTAACACGCGTTGCTGTGCATTTTCAGTGCACTATGTTTTGAATGTCAGTGTGCGTCTTGACACATATTATAATGCATTCACGTGCACTGACGCGAGTTTCAATGCAAAACACAAAAAATTCAGAGAAGTGGATTCTGCCTAAAACGTTTCTCTTTTAACGTTGCCACACACAGGCTCCTAATGCTTGTTAGGCTTCAAAATGTCAGAATTAAAGCAGAAGTTTAGTCAAACAATATTTTAGCTGCAGTCACACCACTTGTAATGAAGTATGTCACATGCCATGTAGGTATCAGCTTCATGTAGAATTCTTCTATGGGGTGCCCAGTCCTCTTCCTGGCACTGAACTTTCAGTATGGGGAGGGGGATTTGTGGGTTAATAGTGTCTGGTCTTTGGACTGAACTGCTTTCAAGATGGCCCACCCCCTCCTTCCATCTCATTCATTAAGAAAAGCCCATGCATTGTTTACACTGAATGTAAAACAATCTCTAATAATGTGGGAGAGAGCAGCTCAGAGAGGCCACACTTCATGGCAAAGGTAGTTGGACACGGGAGTTGTGGCCAGCTGGGCCAGAGCCTAATAGTATTCAGCTTCTCCAGAGGACCCAGCTACTATTGGAGCCCCTTTCCTGGTTGCTACCAGTTGCAGTGGCCTTTGGACCCTTGATCCCTCCAGATGTTCACCTGTGTTACCAGAGTTACCTTGGACTTCACTGTGAGGGAATCGCAAGTAGCTGTGTTCTGAACTGTTTTACTGAGGTGAGTCTCAGCTTGACCTTCTGTCTTTAAAATATCTTATAGAGACTATGCTATGCAGCGACATGTCACATTGATTGAGTCAGAGAGATATTGCTATAGTCCATGTTTGTGCAGCTTTCATGTTTTCCCTGGCTGAATTTACCCACCCAGAACTCGTATAGTTCACAGCTTACATTTCTCTTTAGTGTGTGTGCATGTTTGTTGTCTTTGTTAAACCTGTTTTGTCTTATTGCTTCTACCTACGCACCTGTTTAGTAAACTGCAAGTTTCAGTTACTCTTTATGTGATCGTTTGCCCCCTTATTCCTAATAGGATTCCTACTGCAAAACATACCCAAGTATACAGGGCCACATTAGGACTTGGGATTGGAGGACCTGATCCATTCATATAGAATCCTGCCCACTCAGGAGACAGAACCATCCATTAATGCCCTAGAAGGGAAGCAAGAAGATTAGGTCTGCATCTCCCAGTAGAGGACCAAGATTCCCTTGACAAGACAGTTAACTTCTTAGAAGAGATATATGGCCAAGAGGTAACAATAGGGGACCTCAAGGCCCACTTTAATGGGAGTGGGAGAATCTATTCCACAGCATGCACTTGAACTTAAAGACATGGTAGCAGCGATGCATCACAGGAAAAGGGGCAGAGTAGGGCTAGGGTGATGGGGACAGATGGCTGAAAGAACAATTTGTACATGGACTAGTGTCCAACAAGGTCAGAGACATCTTGCAAAAGAAAGATCAAAGCAACCCCAATTTGAAGTGCCACAAACTGTTGTAAAGGCCATAGCATCTCAGAAGCTGTACAGGCTCAGATGCACCAATAGCCATTGTAGGTGGGAAATCAACAGACCCACCTACAACTGAACAGACAGCTCCATGGGGGAGGAGGCCATCCGGAAATTGACAGAAGGGATAGCTCAGCTTCAGACAGCATTATTCACCACACTTGAGCTCACCTAAGGAAATGCTCTGGAAGCACTTGAGGGCCCTGATGATAAGTTCTTTGTAGATATCTGGGAAAAAGCTGGTGTTGTCAGGTTTCCCTTTGACACAAAGGTTATGATGCCACCTAATCATGGACTCATACTCCCCATTAATGTTGGTTTTTGTCATGAATTGCAAGGATTCCTGTACAAATGGAATCCTTGCACTCAGAAGTGGCTGCATTTGTTGCCAGGATGCTCACAGTTGTCAAGCAAGGAATAGGACACTCCACCTTCTTCCCTGGGACAGCAGTGGTGGGAGTGTCCCAAATCATAGGAATGATTACCCCTAAAGTGAGCTTTAAGAATTTCATGATCATCACTATGTGGCATAAGTGAATATGACTCTAAGTCAACTATTAGAGGGGATCATGACCTGTGCTGTAGCAATGGGATTGAACATGAGATACCCACAGGAGAGAGCCCTCCCATCCAGGAGGGATATTGAAGCATATCTCCACACATCTACCAAGAAGTAAATGCAACAAGAGATGATCAAAGAAAGTAAGAGTCCATAGGCAGCTACAGTTGTCTTTGGGAAGAAGGATGACACTCTCCACTTTTGTGTGGATTATAGGTGTTTGAATGCTGTTACCATGAGTGACAGCTATCCTTTTCCGTGGATCAAGGCATCCCTTTTTGCCCTAGGACAGGCTAATTTTTTTTTCCACATGAGACCTCACCAGCAGTTTCCAAGGTGGGTTTGTGCCAGTTCAAGAGGTTGCCCTTTGGGCTGAACAGTGTGCCTACCACATTCCAGAGGATGATGGAATACTGCTTTGGGTACATGAATCTGGATAGTATCCTCGTCTATCTAGGGAATTTAAAGGTGTTTTCTGCCACAATCGAGGACCATCTTGCAAACTTAGATGCTGTGTTGACCTAACTACATCAGTATGGACTGCAAATTCAAGTGCAAAATCAAGTTTCTAGGACACATCATCTCCTGACAAGGCATACTCTCTGATCTCGAGATAGTAAAGGCTACCCAGGAAACTTTTCTAGGGTTGTCAGGATATTATTATCATCAAGCCTATCACTCTCTCACGATTTAAAGGCTCCTGTACAGGTTAGGTCAGAAGGGGGACTACTTAAAAGTGGAATGATAATCAGAACAACAGGAAGCCTTTGACCTCATGAAGCAGTAGCTGATGTTGCGTCCCATTGTGGCCTTTGCTGACTTCTACATTTCATTTTGGCTTTAGAACCAACACCCATTCTCAGGGTCAGAGAGGAAACCTGCAAATTACAGCTCCTTTAAGCTGCAGCTGCTGGATTTGCTGTGTACCTGGTAGTAGTTAAGTTCCAGGTGTGGATGGAAAACAATCCATTGTTGCATCTCAAAACAGCCAAACTAAATGCTCTGAAGCAGCGTTGGAAAGCCCATCTGTCAAAGTTTGACTTCTCATCTCACCCTGGAAAGAGTAACAAGGTGGCAGGCATTCTGTCACAGTACCCGCTATCCAAAGAACAGAGGTATACCGCTCAGCCAAACAATCCAGATCAATCTACAACAGGTGCAGGCTCTGGCTCGCCACCACACATGATGCAATAGGAAAAAGCACTCTGGAGGATTGATGAATATAGTGTGTATTTATTGATCCATAGGACACACAAAACATCTGGACATGAATACAGGACCTGTTAACGCATTTCACACGATCTCGTGTGTCCTATGGATCAATAAATACACACTATATTCATCTATCCTCTGGTGTACGGCTGACCCTTTTTCCTATTGCACGGTACGTGCTAGCCAGGCCTTACTAAGGTGTGGATGAAGAAGCTGAAGAGATATTAGTCTTTGATTTGACTGGAGGCAGGCCTCAGGTGCACTTATTCAGTGTACTGGAAGAGTGTAACTGGACAGAGACATAGCTGCAGAGGATTCAGTGGATGCCCCCTAATAGAGGCGTTACGGCCAGTGGTGTATTTTGGTTTTGTGCTGCCTTAAGCAAGACTAAAATCGGGCACCCCCCAAACATATAAATTGGCCCCACCCCTTCCTGTTTAAGATCCAACCCTTCATCTGTAATTTCCACCCCTTCCTATTAGAGCTCCACCTCTTATTTTATTCCCTTATCGGTGTCATTTGGAGGAATAGTGCCCCATCATTGGTGTCAGTGGAAGAATAGTGCCCCATCACTGGTGTCAGTGGGAGGAATAGTGCCCCATCACTGGTGTCAGTGGGAGGAATTGTGCCCCATCATTGGTGTCAGTAGGAGGAATAGTGCCCCATCAATGGTGTCAGGGAGGAATAGTGCCCCATCATTTGTGTCAGTGGGAGGAATAGTGCCGCATCATTGGAGTCAGTGGGAGGAATAGTGCCGCATCATTGGAGTCAGTGGGAGGAATAGTGCCCCATCAGTGTCAGTGTGGGAGGAATAGTGCCCCATCAGTGTCAGTGTGGGAGGAATAGTGTCTCATTATAGGTGTCAGTGGGAGGAATAGTGCCCCATCATTAGTGTCAGTGGGAGGAATAGTGCCCCATCATTAGTGTCAGTGTGGGGGAATAGTGCCCCATCATTGGTGTCAGTGTGGGAGGAATAGTACCCCATCATTGATGTCAGTGTGGGAGGAATAGTGACCCCATCATTGGTGTCAGTGGGAGGAATAGTACCGCATCATTGGGGTCAGTGGGAGGAATAGTACCCCATCAATAGTGTCAGTGTGGGAGGAATAGTGCCCCATCATTAGTGTCAGTGTGGGAGGAATAGTGCCCCATCATTGATATCAGTGTGGGAGGAATAGGGCCCCATCATTGGTGTCAATGTTGGAGGAATAGTGCCCCATCATTGGTGTCAGTGGGAGTAATCGTGCCCCATCATTGGTGTCAGTGGGAGGAATAGTGCCCCATCATTGGTGTCAGTGTGGGAGGAATAGTGCCCCATCATTGGTGTCAGTGTCAGGGAGGGAGAAATAGTGCCCCATCATTGGCATCACTAATGAAGAGGCACTATTACTCCCACTGACACCAATGATGCTTACATTGCTGACCCCTGCTTCAGTCTGGGCTCCCTCCCTCTCCCATCCACAGCCAGCATACCTGGCTGCAGCAGCACTATCTGCTCTGCCCAGATCCCAGCTGCATGGTACAGACACTTACCTCACCGATCAGCTGTCTTCCTTCTCTGGCCACTTTCCTCCTCTTCACTGGCTCTGGCCGCTCCCTCACTCTGATCAGCTTCCTCGATCCTCGTGCTGCCAATTGGCTACTCCTCTCTGCCTGTGTGTTTTTCCATGAGCTACAGATCCGGCGGCCAATCTCCAGCGAGGAGGCGGATCTTGCAGAGGGAGGGACAGGCTGCCATAGGCCACCCAGTGATCCCAGGGGTGTGGCCAGATGAGAGGGCGGCATGTCACCCAGAAGGAAAATTCCTGGCCACATTGCGCCGGCATCTGATCCATGATCATCCACCTGCAAAATGAAGACACCGAACGCCCCTGGTTATGGTTATGGTGGTGGCCCAGTTCAACAGAAGGATCTAAGCTATTAACAGATGTCAACAAACTGGCAAATGAGTGATTGTCCTGAGGGATGGTATACTGTACTGCAGAATAATGTTCCCCCATGATTCGTCAGTGACTTGAAATGTCCAACTGTTAAAGGTCCGTTCCCTTTCTTTGCAGAAAGAATTCACATGGAAGTGGGACACTTGGCTGTCCATTAAATATTCACCTTGTTCAAGAGACAAGCCATGTTTGTGGATCTGTTTCAGTTGGTTTAATAAGTCTGCTGAGATGGTGTGGTTCATTCAGTATTAAAGGGGGCTAAGGCCTTGATTCCACCTCTGACTTATATACTAGGTTTGTGGTGGCAGTATCGACCTGCGACCAGACTTCCAAGTCAACCATCTGGATGGTGTGGAATCATTTCTGCATTCCTTACGTCTGTCTACAGATGATACATTCAGACCAGAGACCCTGTTTAGAAAGAAAGTACTTCTAAGAATGTTGACACTCACTTATCATTCAAGAGGCACACACTAACCTGTACTACCCACAAGGCAATGGAGAATGTGTGAGATTCAGTTGCACCATGATACAACTGCTGAGAGACTTGAGAGCTCAGAGAGCTCATGAGAAAACAAGGAATTGGGAAATGGATCGACTACTTGGACGTAGTGGTCTGGAAATACATCCCTAGTCCATACAGTACATTCCTCGACAGGATGCTTACCGTACCATGCTATGTTTCACAGTATTCTTTGGGGGTACACAAAAGAACTTGAACACACTCCAACTTCCTGGACTCAGAAATGGAAACATCGCCTGTCTAACAGTTTATTAAATGTCAGTAAAAAGTGGAGCAAGAAGAGTTGGAAGCCTCAGACTTTGACCTTCAGCCTGGCGAAAAAGTTATGGTCCAACATAAAGACGCACACCAGCAAGGAAAATTGTAGACACTATGGGAAGAAGTCCATGGAGTTGTCCTGCAACAGCTGATTCCAGGCATGCAAGTCTTTGATATCCAAAGAGAAGGTACACAAAACAAAACTGAACCTCGGAAGAGATAAGGCAAGCTTTTTTTAGGAGTTGAAAGAGATTCTGACCTAATGTACCTAATGCAGCAGTAGGTGACAGAATCAGATAACACTCCTCAAAATCCATTTTTCCCCTATGTCTCATCTTGGAATATGAGAAACCTACATAAAAACCAGACATACCTTCAGATTGGCTAGGAGGAGCCGAACAGTTTTATGGGTCACTCGACTTGTCTCGCATACACAGGAAAGCAGAAAAATAGATCTCGTGAACCGTTCAGTATAGAATTACATAATTTCATATCTAATCAATCCTCAGGACTTGTCTGCATAATTCTACCCGCGGGTGGAATGTCATTGTGCCTGATGGGAAGTTATGGGCCAAAAATATGAGTTATGAAAAGATTTTGGCTCTAGTTTAGGCCTACGCCAGCACGTTCCCTCCCAAACGGGGTATTGGTCCCTTTGACTTCAGCAAACACCCCCTGCTGGGAACTGCAAATTGGGCTGTCAGGCCTAAGAGAAGGAGTTGAAGACATCTCCCATCTTAACATCAATACCACCTGGGGGAGACCCGTGCCCCTTCTGCTCAGAAACTTGGATATGCTAACCCAGGACTTTGGCAAGTGCCTTAACCCTTTCACCTCTCTCTGATATCTCTTTGCTGTGCTGTTGGTCTCTGTATGTTTATATATACAGTTGCAAGAAAAAGTATGTGAACCCCTTGGGATTCCGTGGAGTTTTGCATGAATTGGGCATAAAATGTGCTCTGAACATCATCTAAGTCACAACAATAGAAGAACACAGTCTGCTGAACATAATACTACACAAACATAGATGTTGCCATGGTTTCATTGCACATAACATGTAAACATTCACAGTGCAGGGAGGAAAAAGTATGTGAACCTTTGGACTTAATAACTGGTTGACCCTCCTTTGGCAGCAATAACCTCAACCAAACGTTTCCTGTAGTTGCAGATCAGACCTGCACAACGATCTGGAGTAATTTTGAACCACTCCTCTCACAAAACCTGTTTCAGTGTAGCAATATTCTTGGGATGTCTGGTGTGAATCGCTCTCTTAAGGTCATGCCACAGCATTTCAATCGGGTTGAGGTCAGGACTCTGACTGGGCCACTCCAGAAGGCGTATTCTGTGCTGTTGCAACGCCATTGTTTTGTTGAATTACTTGTATGCTTTGGGTCATTGTCCTGTTGCATCACCCATCCTCTGCAGAGACTTCAGTTGGCGGACAGCTGATGGTCGTACGTTTTCCTGCAAAATGTCTTGAAAAACTCTGGAATTCATTTTCCCATCAATGACAACAATCCGTCCAGGCCCTGAGGCAGCAAAGCAGCCCCAAACCACTAATGCTCCCTCCGCCATGTTTCACAGTGGGGATGAGGTTTTGAATGTTGGTGTGCTGGGGCCTTTTTTCTCCACACATAGTGTTGTGTGTTCTTCCCAAACAACTCAATCTTGGTTTTCATCTGTCCACAGTATATTCTGACTACTTGGAGTAGTGCTGTGGAACATCCAGTCCATACAGTACTCTTTTGCGATGCTTCAAACGTGCTGCAATATTCTTTGGGGACAGCAATGGCTTGAACCTCCGTGGTGTCCTGGACCATGGACTCCATTCTTGTCTAACATGTTTTCCTTGTCTGTAAATGTGGAACAAAAAATGAGTTGGAAGCCTCAGACTTTGCCAGAGGCGATTTCTGTAGTCCAACATTAAAAGACGCACACTCAAGGGATTCTTCTTTACACTCATGCAGCAAGTTCATGGAGCTGTCCTGCAACAGCTTGCCAGTCATTTTTACAGGACGGTACCGCAAAAAACTGAGGGCGGAGAGTAGCAACACACAGTGCTAAAGGACGCAGACTCCATTTTGTAGACAGTCCATGTTCTTACTCCCGCCCCTGGACACTCTGATGAAGACATTTGGCAAGGCTTTTGGAGATACTTTTGTAAACCTTGCAGGCCAGCTTCATGAATGCTAGGTGCAACTGTCTTGATCCTGTGTCATTTCTCGGAAGAGATAAGGCAAGCTTTTTTTAGGAGGCATGAGATTCTGACCTAATGAACTAGATGCAGCTTTTTGACAACCAGTAACACCCTCAAAATCCAGGTTTGTGTTCATCTTGGAATATGCAGGAAAGCTACATAAACATCCAGACATACATCACACTGATAGGAGGAGCAAGGTTTTCTATGGGTCACTCGACTGGTCTCCAATTAGCTCAGGAAAGTCAGAAAAATAGATCTAGGTGAACCGTTCAGTATAGAATTACATAATTCATATCTAATCAATCCTCAGACTTGTCTGCATAATAATCTACCCGCGGGGTGGAATGTCACTGTGCAATGGGAAGTTATGGGCCAAATATGAGTTATGAAAGAATTTTGTTCTTAGTTTAGGCCTACGCCCAGACGTTCCCTCCCAAACGGGGTATTGTCCTTTGACTTCAGCAACACCCCCTACTTGGAACTGCAAATTGGGCTGTCAGGCCTAAGAGAAGGAGTTAAGACATCTCCCATTTAACATCAATACCACCTGGGGGAGACCCGTGAAAACTTGGATATGCTAACCCAGGACTTTGGCAAGTGCCTTATAACCCTTTCACCTCTCTTGATATCTTTTGCAATGTTTAATATATGTATATCTTAGTTACATCTTTGTTCTGTAAATATTTTTTATTGCTCCTGTTTGACCTTTTAGTAATAAATCTTTCTTTCTGAAAGTGTTGAACTGTTTCTATAGCTCTGTATTGCAACTCACGAATTCCTGCCTCTAAAGAGACGCTACTGTGTTTGTTTAAACCGCAGTATATCCCGCCTGCGGACCGTTTTATACAGACGATTATCTCAATCATTATAGTGTTATAGCTGATAACGCCGAGTTTCCTCCTTTTCTGTACAAAAGGAGGTGGTGGCAGTGTGAAGGGTTAATTGTGTAATTAAACTGACCCAGTAACAATCGCTCAGGCTGCCGGTACATCGATCTGTATCCATTAGCTGGAAAATCGTTGTGCAGGGTGCAGCTGGGTGTGGCATTGTTACGCACGTCACATCACGGTTTTAGATTGGCTAGTCCTTC